TACAAGAACCGCACAAAAGTACAAGACGGAGACTAAATATTGGATTATTAAGAGATAAAAATTTTGTTGAAAAAGTCAAATTAGAAGTCAAGGAATTTATAAAAATAAGTAGAATGGAGAATATGCCAATAAACAATATCTGGGATACATTACAAGCATATGTGAGAGGCATATTCATTAGTCAAGATGCACAGAGGGAAAAATAAAAAAGGGAACTTAAAAAAGAAGAAGTGACTTTGAAAAATAAGGGAGAAGTAGATGGGAGAAAAATTAAGATAAAACTGATCCAACACCAAGTAAACATGCTATTAACACAAGAAATAGCTAATAAAATAGAATATACTAAAGCATATTATTTTGATAATGCGAATAAACCCACACGTTGGCTGGCTTACAAACTCAGGAAAGAAAAAGAGAAAAGGGTGATTTCAGCATTAAAAATGAAAATCAAGAGATAAAATATAAAAATCAAGACTTAAAAAACTTTGTAGAAAATTTCTACAGAAAACTTTATAAACAAACTCCACAAAACCAATTGTTGAATATTATTCATGTTTGACCATTGCATGTAATCTTGCAGACCATCTTGAATATTTTTCTGAATGATTGCTATCCATGGCCCCTGCCACACGGGCAGGAAACTGCAGAGGAGAAGTGTGGCTGTTTGCCCCGGGGCAAACTAACATGCAGTAAAGCGATCAGACCTACTGTGGAGGTTCTGTGGAGGTACTGTGGAGGTTCCATGGCAAGGGAGAGGTGCCGATCACAACACACGCCTGCGCGCAATGAAGAAGCGCGCGGCGCGGCGAACTGGTTTTCTTTTTTTGTGTACACTATGAATGCGCATGCTCCGTTGGGTGCGTGTGCGCATCCACGGAGACGTGGGGGGAAAAAAACACCTTTTCCGCAAGGGGACATGGGCGGGCGCCGGATACCACCGGAAACGCGATCAGACGCCCGCCCTTGCCCCGCAGTTTCTGGAAACTAGTACCTCCAAGGTACTAGTTTTTTGCTGCGCTTTTTCGGCAGGAAGCCTCAGTTGTGCCACGGAAGCACTACGCTTCCCAGATGTGCTGGTGAGATCGCGACCGGAAACTCCGCTTGTCTTCCGTATCTCTTGCGTGGCTAATGTTGCGTGTGACCGCGGCCCATAATTAATAATTGGAGGACACACATTTTGTATGTATTTAAACGAAGACTTTTTAATTGTACACAATTTTTAAAGGTACATTGCACTTTTTCTTGTATTCTATTCTATAATTGTTATATAATTCTTGTAAGGTTTACCTGACTACGTTCAGAAGAAGTACAGTACGAAACGGAACTCCGGGGAATTTCGTCAACGTCAATGTCTTCTTATGATTCTTTAAAAAGGACTCTTTGAACAATACTTATCTACTTTGATATACTGTGTCATTTGTATGTGTTAATATATTTACACTTTGCAGCGCTCTGTGTGGCAGCTTCTTTGTGTTTTTTGCAATAGTTTCTTGTAGCTGTGACCTTCGCTTTTTGTTCACACCACAGAATCCCAGCAAGGTTTGTTTTTTTAAAAAAATCTAGGCTATTACTATTATTCCACTGTTGTGAAGACACACATAACCTTGCCTCTTTTAATATCCTCCTGGCACTGGCCTAGTTAGGGAGGAACTAAAGGCCTATGCTGACATTTATTTAAAAGTGTTTAAAAGTTAAACAATCCCTAAAACAGACCCTTATTACTAAAAGCCTATTTAGCAGTGCCTAAGTATTGTACTCAATAGCCCTAAGTTGAAACCAGAAGCACACACACAGAACAGTGAAACACCCGTCTCCTCCAAAAAGCCAACCTTCTAGAAATTAAAGGGAAGAAATATGGGGGGGGGGACTTTGGCCTCACCCCCCATCTCCCTGTCTCCTCCCCCTTAGAATAAAACATGGAATATCCAACTGAATATGCAATGCTATTTGATTTGTCGATTATTACTGTTTTTATTGTTTTAAATTTTATTTGTATGTACATATTATAGTATTTATGAGAATGTATTTATGGCTTGCTGGTAACCACCCTGAGCCCCAATTGGGGGAGGGTGGTATATAAATTGAATAAATAGATAAAACCAACAACCTACCACCCACCAAGCTCAAAGAACAACTCAAAGTAAAATAAGAAAACTATTTTTAAAATGTTCAGTCAAACCACGCTGTCTTCAGTCTTCTCCAGGCAAGCAGACAGGATCTGATCCAAAGTCCACAGGACAGTCTCTCGGGCAGCAGGAGTCAGGCTCAGAGCAGCAGCTGAAGCTAAAGCCAGCCACACACTCTCCAAACCTCTCTCAGCAGTGGAGTCTAGCTCAGCCAGATCCTTGCTTTTATGCTCTTTGTCCATGCAAAGGAGAATTTCAAAAATGAACAAACTTATGAGATTGTCTAAAGAGCATTGTTTCCCCCTAACCTTTGGGACCAGTGGCACCTTTAAGACAAAGTAAGTTTTATTCAAACTTTGTACTGCTGCTTCAGACCTTCCTCATGTTCCCTGGGAAATGGGTGGGCAAAACAAAGTAGTTTGTTAGACTTAACATCTGAAAGCCGGCAACAGTCTTGCAAGGTTGCAAATTTGCAATACAAACCTGCAATGCAATGCCATTTGCAAATGCATTGGCTCTAAGAACATAAGAGACGCCAATGTTGGATCAGGCCAAAGGCCCATCCAGTCCAACATTCTGTGTCACACAATGGCCAGAATCAGGAAGTCCACCAGTGAGGCCAGGACATTAGAAGCCCTCCCACTGTTAAGGCACTGGGCTACTGAGTTGCCGCTTTCCCTCCTTCCTGTTGTCCTGGCAACCAGAGCAAAAGGTAAGAAAGAGCCCTAGAGGAAAGAAGTGTAAAGTAACTGTGTAGCTCTTTAAAGTTTAAACCTCTCCAGCAGCAGCTACTTGGTATTGCCGAATAAAGACAAAAGACAAATAATTTTGGCTTTTTTTTTGGTATCATCTATAGCAGAAGCCAAATCAGATTCTCTGATCTGTATTCATCTTAGAAAATACAAAAAAAAAATACAGATAAGTTTTTTGGGGGTTATTTGTTGGCTTGGTTTATACTGAATGCATACCCCTACTAATGTCATCATCTATACCATATGCATGGGGCACAACAGAGAGGAGAATGGCTAAGTGATTAGGAAAAACACAAATGGGAAAGGGCCTAGCTCAGGATTTCTCTGGAGAGATAGTTCATGATATCTATGCTGCAGCAGTTGAGTGGAAAGGTGCTGCTCCCCCCTCCTGAGATATGAGCAATGGAACCGATCTTCTATGGATGGGCAGAGCAAACACTAAAGATCTTTCAGTTTAACTCCTGAAGTTTCCAAACAATATTCTGCATACACTCAAATTCTTGTTAGTGTGTTTCACAGAGACCAACAAGGTGCAACACTCTAGTTCTTTGCTAAAATATGCTGAAAAATAGATCCACGTTTATTTTAGTTCTTGGGTACTATCTAGCTACTCAATTAACAACAATTCACCCTTAAACATAATGAAGTAGCATATTAGAGTTTTATTTTTTGTTTGCTAAACGTAAAAATATAATAATGCATCACATAGATGTATCATGGAATTTGGTATTATTATTGGTTCATCTGTTAGGTGTAGCAGTTTAGTTTGAGTAGAGGATTTGTTTTACAGTAACGTTTAGTATTCCATTAATATAACCCATTTAGAGCGTAGGTTGGAACTGTATATTGGTACTTAGCATGGATACACAGTTTGCGCACACTGTTAAACTGTTTGAAAAAGTGGATTTATTTGGTTTCTTTTTGTAAATTAGCCCTTTGTATCTTGTGACCCAACTAACCAAGAAGAGTTGAAGTGTGGTTTTGTGTTTCCCCCCGTTTCCAGCAGGAACCATTACCAATTGATGATGTGACCCTGGTCAGCTGCATTACTCTTGGTGGGTCACAAGCTATGTATGCCTGCTGTATATAGGTCCCGGTCACACGGGCAGGAAACTGCGGGGGGGAAGCGTGGCTGTTTGCCCCGGGGCAAACTAACACGCAGTTAAGCGATCAGACCTCCTGTGGAGGTTCTGTGGAGGTACCGTGGAGCTTCCGTGGTTAGGGAGAGGTGTCGATCACAACACACGCCTGCGCGCAACGAAGAAGCGCGCGGCGCGGCGAACTGGTTTTATTTTTTTGTGTACAGTACGAATGTGTATGCTCCGTTGGGTGCGTGTGCGCATCCACGGAGACTTGGAGAGAAAAAAACCTTTTTCACAAAGGGACATGGGCGGGCGCCGGATGCCACCGGAAACGCGATCAGACGCCCGCCCTTGCCCCGCAATTTCCGGAAACTAGTACCTCCGAGGTACTAGTTTTTTGCTGCGTGTTTTCGGCAGGAAGCCTCGGTTGTGCCACGGAAGCGCTACGCTTCCCAGATGTGCTGGTAAGATCGTGCCCGGAAACTCCGCCTGTCTTCCGTATCTCTTGCGTGGCTAATGTTGCGTGTGACCGCAGCCATAGAAACTTTTGTGGCAAGCACCTTCAGTCTATACAAACATTACTGACTGTAGAATATGAAATATCTTATCTATCTCTAAAACAAACATTCAAAACATTAAGAGTGCTGGGAACTTGCAGTACATTTTTGTCGTTTCTGACCTTTTCTGTCTCTCTTCTTCCTGTCAGTATGGAAAGAGATAAATCGGTCTCTTGAACTGAAAGCTATGCCTAAGGATGTTTACATTTCCCCCTAATCTACCAAAAGCAGTCCTCATGTCAGACACATAAATTGCCTTCCTGGATGATCTGCCTACCCACAAACAGGTGCCTTAGATAGCCTGTTCAGAAAGCCAAATTCACTCCCACCTTTGTTGTCAAAGCCAACATCATCAGCCATCAGGAGATGTATATATAGAGTCCTTTGTACCTAGTTACGTGTCCATAGCCACCTCCTGCACTTGACAATCTCTGGAACTGGGGCCCCTTTTTCAACACCCTTTTTCAAATTAAAAAAAATTACCTGTTCTTCATGATTGGGTGTCATCTTCAAAACTGCACGTGAGATCAATCTGAAACATAAAAACAGTAATGCCAAATAAATATAATAAGTAACAGTAATGCCAAATAAACGTAACAGAGGGAATACAAAATGTCAAACACAGAAATAAAAAAACTATTTTGCATCTAATGCCCCATGCATTGTTAAAGTTAAGGATTCTGCTGAAGATTCAGAGAAAACCATCTTGAACCCTTATATAGGCTTGTAGTGGTTTACAGTAAAATACCATGCTTAAGAACCATTCACAACGTTTATATCTCCCCATCCCATTTTGCACCCACCAGAGTAGACAAGAAAACATATGCAATAATTCCTTTATGGATACAAAGCTAAAGCAAAACCTTACACATTTCCAGGTAGTGACTCTGAAGGACAATTTGGAAAGAGAAAAGAGCCTCTTGTCTGTCTCCTAAGGCCCCCACCCCAATTTGCTGTTACATCCAGCACATTGTTTTAAATTCTACCACTCTAGTTTGAGCAGAAAATGACATCTGTTTTGCTGAAGAAGATATACTACTAAACAAATATGCATTAACACTTATTTATTTAGATTATTTCTTAGTCACCTCTCTGGAAATCTACACTAAAATAATTTTAAACACTAAAGAACAAAGTAGGCTTGAGGAAGTTTATTTTAATGTATCTGAAGAAGTGTGCATGCACACGAAAGCTTATACCCAGAAATAAACTTTGTTGGTCTTGAAGGTGCCACTGGACTCAAACTTTGGCTGCAATCAGATGAGCTGTTTGATTCAGTGTCATTGCCGTTCCCTTCCAGATTTAAAATGCATGATCAGACAGCAGCATCTGTCTTCCGTTCCGCAGTTGTTGGCACCCCATTCTCATCAGTCTTTGAATAAGAATTATTTGACACTGGGGAAAGTCCGGTCCTTCCTGGTGTCAGCAATTTCAGCCCGCATCTCCAGAAGTCTGACCAATCCATCGTACTCTCAAGCCATTTGGGAAGTCTGAACATTCCCTTCCGGTTTGGGGCTTTTTGTTTTAGGCAGTTAGCAAGGTGCACATAACTGCATATTCTCACCATGGCTATGAAGCACCACATGTGCCTTTATATTTTACAGACATTTTATAGACATGTCTCTCTCACACACACACAGAGGAGCTCCTCAAAACTGTGTTTTTCTTTTAAAAACCTCAAAAGCACAGTTTCAAAAACACTTTCCCCACACTGTACTACATATCCCAGCAGCCTCCTCCAGCAATCCCATTGGCCACCAGCCACCACCATCCTGCCAGGTGTTTGAAGTGCTGTTTCCAATACACGCTTATGTGCATGCTCAAAAGACAATTTTTAGAAGCTGCCTGACCACTCCACTCCATGGCTGCCATGTCTGATTGATCAACCACAGGTCAGCACACAGTGAAGCGGGTTAAGGGTAAGATGTCTGATCAAAACTCTGTTAGACCCCAAAGGGACACTATTAACACACTAACCGGTTTTGAAAGATATAGAAGAAAAAGGGATTGTCCAGCTGCAGAAGAAGATTTTGACTTTGACTTTACTAATAAAAGATTAATATACTAATTTTTAACATCACTCAACACTTTTCTTTACCCCTCTATATACCCTTCCTAACTTTCTGAAATGTAAAAGCAATAAAATTCTCTCCTTTTTAGGAGAGGGAAATTAAAAAAAAACAACCTCTGTTACAAAAAAAACCCCTGGATTAATTAGAGGCAGGGCCAGACCACAGTAAGCCTGTCATCTAACTGCAGCCTTTGTTCTATTGCTTCAAAACAACACAACTACCCAACTGAATTTAAAAACTAAAGAAAGTCAACTTTAAAAAAAGTAAACTGCAGTTAAATCAATAGCAACATATTAAAATACAATAAAATCTGCATAGAAAGCATAAAATAGATTACCAGGAGCACAAGATTCCATAAAAACAGGGTCAGATAAAGGGAAAAGAATTACAGATAAAGACAAACCACGCAGATCAAAATCAAGTTGAATTAAACATGTTAGAGGGGAAAAGGTTCAGCTGAAGACTTGAGCAAATAAAATTGTCTACCAGGCACTTGAAGAACAGACTAGATGCCAGTCAGACCTTTAGGGGCTATGTGTGCCACAAAAAGAGGTGCCACTTCTGAAAAAGTGCTATCTCTGGTTGTACCCTGTCACCCCCATAGATGGAGGCACAAAGAGAAGGGCTTAAGATGAAGTTGCTAGTCGGCAAGCATGATAATTTAGGAGAAGGAGGTGCAGGTAATATGCTAAATAATACTTCACATTTTTAAAAGCCTTAAGAGGACATAAGAACATAAGAGAAGCCATATTGGATCAGGCCAATGGCCCATCCAGTCCAACACTGTATCACACAGTGGCCAAAAACCAGGTGTCATCAGGAGGTCCACCAGTGGGGCCAGAACTCCAGAAGCCCTCCCACTGTTGCCCCCCAAGCACCAAGAATACAGAACATCACTGCCCCAGAAACAGTGTTCCATCTATACCTTGCAGCTAATAGCCATTCATGGACCTCTGCTCCCTATGTTTAATCCCCTCTTGAAGCTGTCTATGCTTGTAGCTGCCACCACCACTTCCTGTGGCACTGAATTCCATGTGTTAATTAAGTACTTCCTTTTATCTGTTCTAAACCTACTGCTTGTTAATTTCATTGAGTGCCCAGGAGCCCTTGCATTGTGAGAAAGGGAGAAAAGTACTTTTATCTCTACCTTCTCTCCCATGCATAATTTTGTAAACCTTTATTATGTTGTTTCTCCAAGCTAAACAGCCCCAACCTCTTTAACCTTTCTTCATAGTTGCCCTTTTTTGCACTTTTTATAAAGTACAGGGGGGAAAGCCCTGCTGGGTCACAGCTTTGTTATTTCATGATGTCTATTGTAGCTTCACATAGGATAGAATAATCATTTTATTAGCAAAAAATGTATTGAGTGGAAGAGTGTGGTGAGTCAATTAAGAGGTCCTTCTGACTTACTCATGGAGGTATCAGAATTGTTAAAATCCTTTCCCAATAGACAGAAAAGTGAAATATTATGGAAACATGGCCCAGAGTAACATTACTATTACAGAAGTCTGAAAACCAGACTTTATGCAGTCAAAACACACAATCATGTAAAATAATCCAGAGGTCTGAAAATTCCTCCTTCAACCACTTCAACTATCCTGTGGTTTGGAAGAGATTCACATGGAAGAACTGAACCTTGCAGAAGATAGCCTCAATTTATAAGCATTAGTATGAGATAACACCAAAGTTTACTGTGGTTCTCCAACATATGACCCTGAAGCTGGGCGTTTGATACAACTATTGTATTACTAAATGTTTAAGTCCATGAACTGATAAAATCTTGTAGAATGGTTAAATACTATATTTTTAAAACAGTTCCTTAAAAATTGTTTTCTTTAAGTTGAGTGTCATGCCATGAAAAACCCTTTGTCCCCCAAATTATTGCATGAGCGATTCCCTACGGCACCCCTGTAAGAAATAGGGCTTCCTTTGAAGATGGTGGAAATTTCAACTGTCATAGGAGAATGTCTTCCTAGAACCTCTGAGCAACATGGGCTCTCGTGGAAAACTGACAGATTAGAACACTGAACCAACTGGTTGGACTCTCTTTTGGGCTCACAAACTTCACAGGGCTGTTATAAGTTGAAAATGAAGGTGGGAAGAGATCCATGTAAGATTCTCTAAACTTCTTGGAGAAAGGGTAAGATTAAAGTGTCCTAAATAAATACATTACATTTAATTAGCTTTTTCTGTACCTGAGCATATCAGGCAATAGATGTAATGCTTTCATAAATCCCAACAAACTCTTGATCTGATATGCAGTTTAGCCAGGAACCCAAAGGAACATGCCTATCAAATTGAAAAACAGAAGTGGCTTGGTCCTGAATAAGACAATCTGAAGCATGAACAGAGCCCAAAACGGCACAAATAAATTAGAATTTTGTGCCAGAGGTTAAACTGTTTTTGCCAACATTGACATATTGCACAAAGAAATTTCAGGACTGTCTCCAGCCAATCAAGATGCTTTTATCTAGGATCTCTAACTAGAACAGGGCCATAGCCAGTGGTGGGCACACAGAGCAGTGCCCCCTATTGGATTTGCAGTGCCCTCACCCCAAGCTCCCTAAGCTTCCCCTTTACTTTCGAATTTTGACGGTATTTTTTTAGCCATGCCACTGTGTACGACTAACCAACCTTGATTCCTTCCTCCCTTCTTCTGGCCAAGCTTGTCACTGAGGGAGCTGGGACTAGCGGCCAGGGTTATTTTTCAGCAACTTCTGGAAAGACTCAGCTGCACTTGTCAGTAGCAAGGATGGGACTAGCATATGGCTAGCTTTCAGGACCTTCCTGAAAAAAATGGATCATTCCACCCACCCAGGCTCGATGCTGGCAGGCGGCTGAGGGGCTTGGAGTCCGGTCATTTGCAGGGGGGCTGCATGGCACAAGGCATGGCACCCCCTCATGGGGGGGACCTTGCAAAGGCTGCAGACCAAGCCGATCTTTTAAGGAAAGTGAGAAGCAGAGGTGGTTTGCCACTGACTTCCCCTGCAGAGTCTTCCTCAGTGACCTCCATTCCAAGTATTGACCCTGCTTAGCTTCCAAGATCGGGCTATGCCATGCTGCCCTCCCTCCCTGTTTGGTGTAGTGGTTAAGTGCGTGGACTCTAATCTGGCTGAACTGGGTTTGATTCCCCACTCCTCATGCAGCTGCTTGTGTGACCTTGGGTCAGTCACAAGTTCTCTCAGAGCTGTTCTCTCAAGGGGAGTCCTTGAAAGAGCTCTCAGTCCCACCTACCTCATGGGGTGTCTGTTGTGGGGAGGGGAAGGGAAAGCAGTCTGTATGCCGCTCTGAGACTCCGAGTGAAGGGCGGGGTATAAATCCAGACTCCTCCTCCTCATCCCCCTAGATAACAATAAAGAAGACTGAGTAAATATTAATTTTTTGTTGTTGTTCAGTCGCACAGTCGAGTCCGACTCTTCGCGACCCCATGGACCCCATTGAGTTTGCTCAACTTCATGTT